GAGCATTGTTTATAGTGAACTAAGTATATCGAACCACATAAGATATACAAACTATAAATTCATTGGGACTAAAACTCTTTGACAAAAAGTTTTTACACCTAAACCTCGTTTTATTTAGCTTAAATTATTTGGGTCGTAAAAGCACAAATATATGCATACAACGAGTCATTTTCATAGTTAGAACTATACAAGAAGTATTAAGACAAGTTGGACACTACGACTAGTCCTCAGAATATGTAATCAGATTTGGGACGAATATAGCTTGATCAACTATATTTATCCAAGATCGGACTAATGTATGTCAGGGAATGGTCGTAGTGAGCAAAAAGTCAAAACTAACCAAAATAACACTAGTATCGAACACACAAATTTAAATACTATAGGAGTATTTAGTAAATTCAATAGTTTAACCTACATATTTATAGTTACATGTTTCAAATTTTGTACAATTCTTATAACCCTATTCTCGTATAGTCGAAATGGTTGGATTCTATCCACCCGAGGATCCCTACTACCCGAACTAGGGCAATAGAGGATGGGTAGAGGATGACCCCGAAGAAGATGAGGAACCCATGGAGGAGGATGAAGGTGAAGACTCTGGGACAGACTCAGAGCTAGAAGTAATCAACCCACCAATCTCCCAACCTCTCGCATTTAGGGGAAACTTTCAAGGACCAACTCCTGTCTGGGGAAGTCACATTCACCATTGGAGCCGACAGCAAGGATTACGTCCTCCCTATGGTATGTGTTGGGATTTCTACGAGGTCAGTGGAGGAAGTTCAACTGACAGAGCACTCCTGTTAGTGGTGGGAAAGCTAGCCAACCAGTCCTACCAATCCGGAGTTCAAGAGAACCGGATTCGCGAAGTCAACGTGGAGGTTCAAGGTAACACTGCTGACATCCGTTGCCTGGACATGTTGCAAGAAAATTCTCATCTCCACACCGACACCCTCTAGGAATAGTTGGCTGCAGCTTTCTCTAAGATAAGAGAGATGAGGGAGCATCAAGCTGCCTTTGACAGGCGTCTTATCGAAGCAAAGCAATCGGAAGCGAAGTCAAGCTCCAAGCGTAACCCGCGTCGCAAGTAGTACTTGCCGAACTCCCAAATTTTGATATAGAATAGGCTATCAGCTAAAAGTCTTACTTTTCTTTAACTTTCTTGTAATCGAAGACCTTTAGAAAGGTCAATTTTTCCTAACTTTGAATGTAATCCAAGCATATGTTTAATATATAATGAAATATTTCTTTTGGGTATTAATCCTTTGCATATCACTCCAATTCATGAGTTTATCTACTATTATATAGACTCTAAATATGAATCAAACTCGAAACCTTGTGTTAGTCAGCCTAAATCATGAATAATTGAAAATAGTTAACCCTCTAACATTCAAATTTCGATCATCAAAGACTTATGGTCTCTCATTGTTATTTCTTAGCAGCACAATGTCGCCTCGTAGATATACACATCGTGGCAACAACGTAACACCTCCACCACCACCACCTCCATCAATGGATAATGTCGCCTTGATAGTTGCTATAACAGCTACAGTCACAACAGCAATGGCACAGATGAGTAATAATGGGTCCGTAGGGGGAGTAAATAGCTCTACGAATGGCCAACACCAGGGTCGTTCAAGGGATTGCACCTTCAAGGACTTCACCAATAGCAAGCCCATATCTTTTAATGGATCCGGATGGATAATGGCTCTATCACAATGGATAGAGAAAACAGAAGCGGTTTTCGAGATCTGTGCATGTCTAAAAGGGAGCAAGGTAAAGTTTGTTACTTGTACATTCTCCAAAAGAGCTCTGACGTGGTGGAATGGCAATGTCAAGTCACTAACTCTGGTAGTGGCAAATTATATGGGCTGGTAGAATCTAAAGCAAATGTTAATGCAAGAGTATTGTCCGAGGGGCGAAGTACAAAAGCTAGAGCAGGAACTTTGGGGCCTTACTATGGTAGGCTCAGACATTAATACCAATATGTTTAGTGATTTGCCAATCCTTTTCCCAGGAATGGTTTCTCTAGAGCAACACGATCGAGAGATACATCTGGGGACTGTCACCCCTGATTCGAGGAAGTGTACTAGGATCCAAACCAATCACTTTCGATAGTGCCAAACAGTTGGCGCAAGCTCTCGTTGACCATGGAGTCTTCCAAGGCTTCTCAACTACTCCCCCAGAGAAAACCCTAGGAAACAACAACAACAACAATAGTACCAACAACAATAGCAAGAAGAAATTTTGGAACAAGAGGAAGAGTCAGTTTTCACAAGAACCTCCCAAGAAACAAGTAGTGGTAGTCCATGCCGCTACTACCCCCACTGTTGCTCCTGTTGCCTCTAAACCAGCAAGACAATATGTTGGGAACCTACCGAAATGCAGCAAATGCAATCTCCATCACAACGGAAATTGTCGAGAGATGCACTGCAACAACTGCAATAGGAAAGGGCACACTTCCCGTTTCTGTAGGGCACCAGCACAACCAATCACCCAAGTCCCTGGAGTCGGTGTGGTCCAGGCGTGTTTTGGGTGCAGTGAGGCTGGACATTACAAGAGGGACTGCCCAAAGGCAACGAATGCTGGGGGCATAGGATGAGTGATGACAATCGGGCATAACGAAGGATGAGTGATGGTTACGGGTATGTTTCTCCTCAATAATGCTTATGCATGCATACTCTTTGATTGCGGTGCAGAGAGGAGTTTCATGAGTCATAAATTCAAGCACGTACTAAAACAGAACCCTCAATCACTGAATAAGATATTCACAGTACAAATGGCAAACGGTAGAACAGAAAGCACAAACGATATGTACATACGCTGCATGCTAACTCTAAACAAACATTCTTTTCAAATCAATCTAATTACGATCACCATAAAGAGCTTTGATGTCATCATCGGTATGGATTGGCTCAGCCTACGCCATGCCGATATACTTTTTCATGAAAGCACTACAAGAAAAACAGCCTTTAATGACGCGCAAGCAATGACACTCGCTGTTTCACGTTACGCATTTTTGGGTGTCCTTAAAAATAATGTCAGACTTCCAAAATTTGAAAGATAGTGGACACGCATATTTGCGTGCCCTTAAATTAGTGTCTCAAGAAAAAAAAAATTAAAAACACGGAGGGTGCTTTATCTTAAACGTGCGTCTTCTGTAGGTGTCGCTTTATAAATTTAAGGAAATGCTCCTTGAGAAGATAACGGGGGGAAACGAAACCCTAAAATTTTGAAAACCCGCCTTTCTTTTCTACCTTATTTTCTTCATCTTCACAATCGACTCTCACCTTTTGTTTCTCTATTTCAATGGTTGTTTCCCTCTTTCCCTAATCACGTCGTCGCCGCGAATCACACACTGCCAGACAGTGGAAGAAGATGATGAAGTTTATCATTGTCATATGCCGCCCTCCGTCGCTGTCTCTAACTATCTCTGCCCTTTCTTTATTCTTCGCTTCTATGATCTCATCCTCCTATTCACCCCTCTAAAGCCTTACTTGTAATTCCACACCATGCTTGTTCTTATCTTGTTCTGTAAAATCAAGAAAAATTCAAAAAAAACCTTAGGGTTTCGCTGTGAGGCCTCGTTTCTTCTTATCAGTATCGGATTTCTTCTTGGCTGAGGGGCCAGATTGACGAGACCTATGAGAATTCTGAGATCGCTCCATGCTCCCTATGTGATTTTGTGAGGATACATAGATTAATAGGTGCGATAGGGTTTAGCAAAGCTCATTATTTCTTCTTTACCAGGTATAATAAATGTTGGGTCAAGTCTCTTCATCCTTTCACAAATCTTCTTTAAAGGAGTATTATGTATGTGCATACTTCGATTGTTCCTTGTTTAGTGCTTTTTAAAGCTTATTGTTGCTAAGATCTGTTGGAGATTTATCAGTTTCTAAAAGGTCACACTCAGATTTGAGCATATTGTTATTGCAACGACAAGAAGAGCACTCACCCAAAGAACAAAGTTTTTCGAGATCTCTTCTGAGTTTATTTCTTCCTCATGATTTATGTCACAATTTGGATCACGTTAATTTTATTGAATTAAGGACAATGGGTAGACTACAGTTCATCTAGCAGATCATGGTCAACTATAAATCTTAATTAAAAAACCTGAATTATGACTTTCAGGTGCAGTAATTGAAGTTTACATAGTCAACATGGTTTAATATATAAACAACTACACTTGTTTCCCCAAATTAATGAAAAATGGGGGTATGAAATAGTTTTGGTTCTTGAATTGGTCAGAGGAATTCATGTTTCCCCACATTTGAAATAGTTTTGGTTCTTGAAAAATGAGGGTAATATATATTATAATTTGTAGATTTGAACTATTTCATACCTAAAAAGTTATCTATTCATGTTGATTATTCTGATATTGTTTTAGAATGATGTTAATAATCTATCTATTTATTTGTAATGCAAGTTATAATCTATGTGTTATTTGTTGATAAATAATTGATTATATGTATATGTTTAATCTCTCTTTACTACACATGTTTAAGCTACTAATATCCCCAATCATGTTTAAGTTATGTGCTTCCAATTTGGCATAGATCTATATATGATGATAAAGGTCTTACTGGAAGTAGCTCATATTAGAGATACGATTATGGAAAGTTCTCTGCATCCAAGACATTTTTTGATAGTGTGAAGAATAGGAGGATACTATGGGGTTGGATAAACGAGTCAGATAGGTCAACGAATGATATCAAGAAACAATGGGCTGGAATCCAGGTATTTAGCTATACTCGAAAAATATTAACATCCAACTTTCTTGTAACAAAATCATAGCAGCTTTATTACCCTTCTTGGCAGATATGCATAGTTTAGGGTTGATTTATCAATATCACAGGAAGTGGATGGAGCTACCCATGTCACATGTGGAGTATTGGCTGCATACTTGTTGAATAATTTACGGTTTGTATTCTTCTCTTCTTCCTTTTTCAGTAAGTTTATAAACTGATTTACATATATCATTTCATCGTGTACTTACACAAGATATGATGAAATTAATCTTTCATGGTGAAGCTTTATTTCAGACACATGATAATTTAGAACACTTGGCAATGATGGAGAGGGTACTGGGACCTTTACCAGAGCATATGGTTCAAAGAGACAAGTAAGATCAGACCTATTTTGGCAAAAAAAAAGTTCAATATAATTATTGAAATATGATTTTGTTCTTTCTACTGGTTGTTTCAGCCATGGTATAGAAAAATACTTCAGAAGATTTAAATTAAAGTGGCCAGAAGGTGCGGTTTCTAGGGAGAGTATTAAAGCAGTGTGGTATCTTTGATGAACTGTAAATCCTACAAAGAAATTAAATTTATATTCATCATTGTCACCATTTGATTATTCTATTTTAAATTGGTATTTTGGAAGTGTCTTACTGTTTCACTATGCAGCTGTGTCAGTGGGTCTAGAAACTGAAACCATAATAGCTGTGTTGAATAAGCTTTCAAAGTCCAATCTCCCTAAAGAGATGATCGATTTCACTCATGCTTCAACATCCAATTATGGAAAAGTAAAGCTTGTACTGAAAAAGAATCGTTACCTAGTTGAATCTCCTTTCCTAGAGGCAAGAATGCTTATTATGTTCTTAATCTGTAAGCAACATATTGTACATGTGTGGATATTCAAATATTAAATTATTAATTCTATTATATGATTGGTGTTTGCAGGTGGCAGTTGCAGTTGAAGAATAATAAGCTCATTCATTTGAAATTGACCCCACTCAGGTATAGTATATGATACGAAGTATCCGTTTCTCATGAAGTGCATCTTATTTATATTACTCACTTAAAAAAAGGTCGAAGAGTGATTTGTAGATTTACTACATCATTGATTGAAGAAAATTAATTACTTAACATGTTGAAAATGTAAAGCAGAGGTGCTTGCCAAATGCTTTAAACTATCCCATGTTGGAGGAGTATGATTTTTGCAATGATACTGTTAGTTCTCTTACATACTTGTATGACAGACATTCTTGGTTCATTTAGCAATATGATTTGTAAACAGACTAACTGTTAACTATTACCCATACATTCAAACAAACAGTTTTCACAATGTTCATCGCTTTAGACAGTATTCATCAGTTTTAACATCAGAGGATTTAGGTGGGAAAAATAAAAAGGGAAAATAGGTAAACGGTTGGTTTCATAAGCTTTTTGACTTAACCCATTAAGGCGTTCTTTCCAGATTAAGTAAAAAAGAAACAATCATGTATAGCTAGTTGTGAAAAACAACCAAACAACCCCATAGTCTTTTCTACAAAGTTGATAATTACTCATAATAAGCAAATTGCGCAGATACATCCGGATGTTGAGATGGAATTAAAGCCTCAAGCACAACCACGACCTTATCAAGAGAAGAGTCTTAGTAAGAAAAAGTTCTTAATATTTAAATGGCAGGCACCCGTCAAAGTTGAATTATTGAAGGTCTAGATATGAAATTATGAATATATTATATCACTGCTGTGCTTGATTGATCGATCACGTGCTTACTTTTCCTTCATGGTAAAAAATTTAGTTGAAAATCGATGGATACCAATGGAGAGTCCATCCACATTTCCTTGAAAAACGAAACTACCGGAAAATATTTGTATCTAAAAGTTGAAGTAAGAAGTGGAACAACAAGCTCATGTTTTGATGTCATCTTTCATCCCAATTCATTTTCCAGCCAATACAGGTAATTTTTTTTCTTGATATATGAAATACAAATTGAATAAATCAAAATCTTGTGAAACACTAAATAAAATTGGGTGGGTCTACATGGCAGGATTAAAAACTGAAGTATGTTTTTACCCTTCTATTTTTGGCAAACTGAAGGTGGTGATGCTTCATGGTGTTGTCTTCCTCCTTGTACAACTGCTTCATATTCATGGGAAGATCTTGGTAAACAATTATCTTTTTCTTTTTCTTTTCTTATTTGTTTTATTTTCTGTGGTTTAATCTCAGTAGAAAAACCTTTGGTGGAGGCTCTAATCATGTGGACAAGCCTACAAGGGACAATTGGTCTCAACATGCCAAAGCGCGTGATAATTTTTTAAACTAAGAAAAATTCTTGAAATCAAGGCCTTTATAAACAATGTAACTTAAAGTTGTTTAATTGCATCATCAATCAACTTCAAGGACTTTGTCCTGAAGCTTCGAATCATTTGTAAATAATTATGGACATGCTCATTTCAATATCAAATGATTCACTTGACAATGTGGACCTGAATTCAGAACAAATAATGAAGCTTCGCCAATATAGGTATCTCCTTCTTTTTCTGCCTTCTGAAAATAAAAATGCAGTCTTATAATCATTTTTTTAAACTACAATTAGTAAGAAGTTTGGTACTTTTAGTAGCATTTTAAAAAGAAGAACCAATAAGAAGCTGGTGGGCGGCTTGTAATTTCAAGTGATGGAGTCGCGGATTGGCTTCGGAATCAGCAGCAGCACAAATTGTCAAAGTATGAAAACAAATAAATGTCAAATTTGTAATAAAATATTAAGCAATGGATTCTATTTTTTGTATATGATATTTTTTATGACATTAAATTTTATGAAATGGATTATATTTTTTGTATATGATATTTTATTTTCTATTATGAGGCATTAAATGCAAATTTAATTTGAAAATTAGTAAATCTATAAAAAAATATATTTTTTTAAAACATTTAAAATTATGATACGCAAAAATGTATGTCATCTTCATTTATAACATGGCCTTTCTTGACAGGGGCTTTCTTGATACGCATTGCATGTCATTAACATGCGCGTCATAAGGTTACGACACGCGAATGTGTGTCATCTTCCTTTATGACATGGTCTTCCTTGATACGCATTGCATGTCACAAATGCGCGTCGTAACTACACGTCGTAAATGCACGTTGTCTCGACGCGCAAAAGCGCGTCGTCTCTTTTTATGATAGGGCCTTCCTTGACGCGCACTTGCGCGTCGTCTGAACCTTTTACGACGCGCAATGAGCGTCGTAAAAGACTGTTTTTCTAGTAGTGAAGGGTCGTTCTCCTAAATTTTCCAAACGGCAAAACTCTTGTCATTTATAGTGACAAACTCGGTACTAATTTACAAATCATCTCTTGTGTCAAAGCTCAGAAATACCTACGTAAGGAGTACCATGCCTTCTTAGCCCACGTGGTAGATAAAGAAAAAGAAACGAAAGACATAAAAGACATTCCCGAAGTCTGTAGTTTTCCCAATGTCTTCCCTGAAGTTCTTCCAGGAGTTCCACCAGAACGACAAGTCGAGTTCAGAATCGATTTAATTCTCGAAGCTAACCGAGTAACTAAGCTGTCGTATCGGCTAGCGCCAGCTGAGATGCATGAATTATCCAGCCAATTAAACGAACTACTCAACAAAGGGTTCATCAGACCGAGCTTCTCACTTTGGGGAGCACTAGTCCTGCTCGTAAAGAAGAAGGATGGATCTTTCCGCTTGTGCATTGATTACCGGGAACTCAACAAGCTCACTATTAAGAACCGATATCCCCTACCACGCATTGACGACTTGTTCGACCAACTCCAAGGAGCAAGTTTTTTTTCAAAGATCGATTTGAGATCCGGGTATCATCAGCCATGAGCCTTGGAAGGAGATGTTCCCAAAACAACCTTTCAAACTCGTTATGTTCACTACGAGTTTGTAGCAATGCCCTTTGGATTAACAAATGCACCGGCGGTGTTCATAGATGTAATGAACCGAGTGTGTCGTTCATTCCTGGAAAAAATTGTGATCATGTTCATAGATGATATACTCATCTATTCGAAGAGTATAGAGGAACATAGTCAACACCTCCGACAAATTTTGGAAACACTAAGAAAAGAGAAATTATACGCAAAGTTCTCAAAGTGCGAATTTTGGATTCGGAAAGTAGATTTTCTAGGTCACGTGGTTAGCAAAGAAGGGATACACGTGGACCCTTACAAAATCAACGCAATTAAGAATTGGTCAGCTCCAAGAACCCCAACGGAAATCCGACAATTCTTGGGCCTTGCTGGCTATTACCGAAGATTTATACAAAACTTCTCGAACATTTCTAAACTAGTTACCACCTTGACCCAGAAGGGTGTAACTTTCAATTGGGAGGAAAAACAAGACGTTGCATTCCAAACACTGAAGCAAGCACTATGCAGCGCACCTATACTGTCCTTTTTGGAAGGAACATAAGACTTTGTGGTATACTATGATGCATCAAATCAAGGTCTTGGATGTGTGCTAATGCAATGAGGAAAGGTCATCGCTTACGCCATAAGACAACTCAAGACGCACAAGGTCAACTACACTACACACGATCTTGAACTAGGAGCGGTCGTTTTTGTGCTAAATATCTGGAGACACTAACTCTATGGCACGAAATGCACGATCTTCACCAGTCATAAGAGCCTTCAGCACATTCTCAATCAAAAAGAACTCAAAATGAGACAGAGACGATGGGTTGAACTGTTAAATGACTACGAATGCGAAATTCGTTATCATCCAGGAAAAGTGAATGTGGTAGCTGATGCTCTTAGTCGAAAGGAATACTCGGGCCACTGGGTGAAATCCTTAACCATGATGATCCATTCAAACCTTTCCACACATATAAAGGAAGCTCAGAAGGAAGCCTTGAAAATAGAGAATGTGGCGGGTGAAGCCTTAAGAGGAATGGACAAAATTCTTGAAGTCAAGAGCGATGGAGTTCGTTACTTCGTGGATCGAATCTGGACACTGAAGTTTGGTGGATTAAGAGACCTTATCATGAACGAAGATCATAAAACTTGATAATCAGTGCATCCAGGTTCAGACAAGATGTATTTGGACCTTAAGAAACTGTATTGGTGGTTGAACATGAAAGCAGAGATTGCTACCTATGTAGGCAAATGTCTGACTTGCACCAAAGTCAAGGTAGAGTACCAAAAGCCCTCGGGATTACTACAACAGCCTGAAATACCCGAGAGGAAGTGGGAGCGGATAACCATGGATCTCATAACCAAATTACCCAAGACAACGGGTGGGCTTGACACCATCTGGGTGATCGTCGATAGATTGACAAAATCCGCATACTTTCTACCAATCAAGGAAACCGACAAGATGGAGAAGCTAGCTCGAACATACATATGAGAGATTGTATGACTACATGGAGTACCAATATCCATTATCTCCAACAGAGATAGTAGATTCACCTCGCAATTCTGGCAGTCGCTGCAAAAATCTCTACGAACGAGACTAGACATGAGTACCGCTTACCATCCACAAACCGACGGTCAAAGTGAGAGGATTATACAAACCTTGGAAGATATTCTAAGAGCTTGTGTAATCGATTTTGGTAAAGCATGGGATACCCATTTACCACTAGTCGAATTCTCGTATAACAATAGTTATGACTCCAGTATTAAAGTTGCTCCATTCGAAGCCCTCTATGGCTGCAAGTGAAGATCACCACTGTGTTGAGCTGAAGTGGGTGACACGCAACTAGCCAAGGGACAAGTACCCGACAGCGCCCTCACAGGCCCGAAAATTATAAAAGAAACAACTAAGAAGATTGTTCAAATTCAGGAATGACTAAAGGCTTCAAGAGATAGACAAAAGAGTTATGCGGACAAAAGACGGTAGCATACAAACTTCGACTACCGCAGGAACTCAATAAGCACATCCTACCTTTCATGTATCAAACATGAAGAAATGTTTGTCAGACTAGACCCTTGTCCTTCCTCTAG